AGACGTCATAGCTCCTAGCAATCCCTCCAAGGAAAGGGAAACTTGGAAAGGGAAATGCAAAGCCATGGAGCATAAGTGATTTGGTCTTGAAAAGGATTTGGATGAGCTGCAGAACAAGGTTGAGCATTTGTGAAGGGTTTTCTTCTTAGGGTGCAGACTTTTGCTTGCTTGTCTTTGGGATGGAAAAAGGTGATTCACTACACTGAAGTACTTGATGTGCTCTTAGCACTTTCTTGGCCATGGTCTTCGTGATTTGCGGCTAACCACGTTGAATTACATTGGTTTCCATTTTTGGTTGCCATATTTTCTTGTCTGTTGTATATATCGTTTGTTTGTATGATACATTTAGCATTCGATGTGGTAGCGTATTGATTTACACGTAGTATTGAGCATGTTGCTTATGTTTCCCGCATTGGGCTTGTAATTGATAAGTCCGATAAGAGGTGTTCATCTCTTTGTACAGAGCTCTGCGTCATAGATAATTATCCTATGGCCAAGGGTAAGATCTTCGTCCCTGCCCCCGGAGCTTGGCTTGTATCGAGGTGGATGTATATAGACTCAGCCTCATATGCCCTTGGATTTGTTGGATTCGAAGACGGTGCACCAACTATGTAGGAATGCGTTTAATTTGTATCATATACACATAAATATGTGTAGTTTGTGTTGAAAACACATTTAACTCATATCAGATATGCAGAAATATGTGTAGTTTGTATTGAAAACGCATTTAAGTCGTATCAAATATGCAGAAATGCGTGTATTCTGTATCAAACACACAGAAGTTTGTGTAATCTTTATATTCTCGTATATAGGGTCCTAAAGAAAGGTACACAAAAAGAATCCAATAGGAGAAAAATAGCAGGCGAGTATTTTCATTCATATTGAAGTAAATTTATTACAATGAGACAATAAAATGACTAAATAAGTAAACATCGAACTATAACACCGCTTTAGATTGGATTTAGACTTCCGTCCATATTCACCGAGGGCCAATATTATGGTCGGAAGAAGGTGAATTTACTTAAGATGCTCGTCTTTCGACCTTTAGAAAGAAGCTCGACTTGCTCTCAACATTTGGCCATCTTTCTAATAGTCGGAGATGTTAGGCTAAAGACCAGAGATAATTGTCGACCAGAGGTAACATTAGAAGGGACTTGGTTTCCTTGTTACCATAGCTTGTGGGCCGCTTTCGGGCTATCTTGTGTGGACACCAATCCTGACGGAACATGTTGCACTTGTCAGGCGACCCGAGGTTGAAGTTTGTTCAACATTCTTGTTCTCTGACTGAATTTATTTCCTAATGCCCCCTCTAGAGCTATATGGAATAGGTAGTTTAGCCGAAGGTCGTCACTAGAATCAACTTCTCTCCCGTTAATAATTTACCTAAACGATAAGAAAAAGGTATAACAGGGTCGACGCGCTCCATCCTGACCTACTGGTTCCGGCCTGAAGATATCTCGTTTAGTGATTGGTGATCCTTAGAGACCCCATATGAGAAACCCTGGTATCGGATTTACATCGGTTATTGACTATGAACTCATCATATCTCCGCCAACGCCATGGCAAGTATTACGCCGGTGAAGGGAGATGGAGGCATTGTTATATTGGAAGACCGATCATGAATCTTTAGCATGATCTCCAAGAAAATTATCTCCATTTTTTTGTGCTTCCAATGTATATCTGGATTTAGATTTAGGGCCCTTTCTTCTTCTACTTCGCGGAGTTCCTAAGGAAAACTATAAATCTAAAGATCTGGTGAATCGTAGCCGAAAGGATAATTGACTGAACCGAATGTGATGGATCTCCGCGTTTGATTCTGAGTGCTCTGGATTTGGTGAACTGAGGGGGTTATGAACAAGTAAATCGAAGATTAGATCTAAGATCATGGAAATCATATGAAGTAGAAGTTGATTCCCACAAACGGCGTCACTATTCCGTTCAGGAACTAGAAATATAAGTGGTTGATGAACTAGAACTCTTGAGCCAGTGTTGTTGATCTCCGAGACGACTGCATGGGGTGGACCTTCATGGTTAGTACTCCAACGTCGTAGTCATTTCAAGATTCAATATGAATATACTGAAAGTGGAGATCAAAAGTGTGTACCGTATTTTTGGTGTGTACTAACTTCATATTTTTGGTCGAGTATAATGGATTTGAGATAAATTAAACCTTAGTGATTTGGTTGCTCCAGAACAGATGCTTTAAAGGTACAATAGGTCATGGTATCACGTTTAGCAATAGGCACCGTGAATGTTTGATTGTACAATATGTTTATTTGAATTATGCATGAGATATGAATGATAAAATGTCTATAATAAAATATGTTGTTACTCTTATGGGTGGCTGAAAATTATTAATTTTATTCATGGTTGTTGTGTCTACAATTAAAATCATACTACATGGAAGTAATTGAAGCTTCCAAAAAGGTGTAATTTAGTTGCCTTGTTATAGTCATAGTGGTATTTATCTGATAAATAACGAGTGTAACACACCAAAATCATATTGATAGGAAGTTTCACAAGATTAAATAGTTACTTTTGCATCTGAACATATAACACTTTAAAATATTCATATTTTAAAAAAGTCAACTTATATGTTTATCAAGTCAGACACTAGTGATAAGCTCAGAATGCGTAAAAAATTTTAACATAGAAATTGTTGAGTATGACTCATAAATTTGAAAGAGAGGCAAAAAAGTGAGGATGTTGAGCAGAAATATAGAGTGAAGACAATATTGTGAGACGATGATTAAATTATATTAGAGCAACTTTAACACATAGTTGTTAAACCAAAATTTTGTATAGCTTACGTTAGTAATAAGGAATTTGCATTATAGTAGAGCTGACATGGCATATAGGATGCTTTAAAACTAGTTTACGTGCTCTACACAAGCAACGTACTCTAACTCATTATTTAACATAAATAATAGATTTTTATTAATTATTTAACATAAATAATAGATTTTTATTAACCATTTAATACCAAGTTTGAATTCCTTATAAACAATCATCATTGAAGTAAAAAAATTTTAATTTAATTTTGGATTGCTTAAATCCTTCATGTCAATTTGGACCCACATAAAATAACTTAGTTCATCCAATTTAGTTGCTCTCATTAAAGATACTCTAAGATCCAACCGTATATTAGACCCAACAATTGATTGTAAGACAGCGAATAAATTATAGTATTATAAATAAGGCTTGTCATACATAAATTCTAATTTATTCAAAAATATATAACGGCAACTATTCTATAATCGTTGACAAAGAGACGTTGAAGTGTGTAAATAACATCCAATTTGTATTTCTATTTTCATAATTTGGCATTTGTTCAATTAAATTTTTAAAAATTGGATTTGAATCCAAATTTTTATGTAAAATATCTACAAACAACAAGACTCTAGTAGGAATATGGTATAAAAAAAACTTAATGATAATTATTTTTAAAATCATATTAGTTATGATTTTTTTAAATGTGCGAAACGTTTTATACCATAAAATTAAACTCTTCCTAAACTATCGTATTATTATCAAATATATTTTAAAGAGAAAAACTACTCCTAGTAGCTTCTTAATACAATAATTGTAATTACTTTCATAAAATAAAATTGGTTTGTATAATCATCTACAAAGGAAAAAATGACTTCTACTTTATATTTAAGAAAAAGAACTCTGAAAAATTAATCAATTAATCCAAAGTTCTAAAAATTATTCTTTGCAAAAGTGTAAACATGATCTCTGTATATATAACAAGCTTCATAAAGGGAAAGGAAATAATGATTGAAAGGAGTACCTGGAGTGGAAAAGAAGTAGAAAGAACAAAAACTAATATTAACAGAGAAATGTTAATAACACTATCTTTTCAACACTCTCAAATACTCACTCTCTCATTAGTTAATATGTATGGGTCCTACCATTTTATATGGAACCTATTTACAAAGTAAAAGATTCATACATGTTTCAACCAATAAAAAAGTGAATGTTCAAAGAGTGTTGAAAGAATTGTTGCTAACACGAAAAAAACGAGGACTGGAACATTTTCTGGAACATTTTCTAAATTACGGAGAAAACGAGGATAGGAACATTTTCTTCTAACTGGTTTGTGTCTCTTTTCACGTAGGTGCAACATTGTTTTCAAATGACTTATACTCGTTCATATATTTGTCATTTGCATTTATCATTGGATTAAAACAAGCTAATCATAAAGGTTTTTTTGTAGAATTTCTTTTAAAAAATGTAAGAGTTTTTGAAAAAACGATAATAAAAAAGCCTCATTAGTTTTCATGCATTATGATATCAAATGTCACATGAATTCTAAAGTAAAATTTCATCCTGCATAAGAATGAGAATATCGGCTTATTAAAAAAACTGGAGGCCTATTTAACTACAGGATAAAAAAACTTACGATTATAAGTACATATTAAAATATGACTTGATGTCTGCAAAATATTTTATTTATGCCTGGTAATTAAATTTTTCCTCCACGTATTCATCCAAATATAAACTTCTATATCAATTCAAAGACATAAATATTTGAAATTCATTAATCAACAGTAAAGTTAATTAAATATTTACAAATCACCACCCAAAGAACGTACCCTACCAATTAATCATTTGATTTTTAAAATAATAACAGTAATAAAGTAACAAACAAAAGCAGAAGAGTAATGTCATGCAAGTAGATAAATAGTCAATATAACACTAGGTTCAATACCATAAATAACTGTATCAGTTGGGGGATGTTTCTTCCATAAAATTCCCACATATTTCACAGGATTGGAAAACTCAATTCTCTGTGAAAAGGGAAGCAAATACCATATTTAGGATTGCCTCGTAATAATCATGATTACCCAAATTATAAAAACTGAGGGTATACTAAAAGTACAAGCATAAGGTCAACCCAGAACGAGCAATTATATGTACAACATGAGCTTATTCACATGCAACAATAGGACACCTCAGGTCCTCCATGTGAGTCTGTACTATCTTTAGTCTTTGTACTAAAGTACACGAAGCTGCGCAAGGAAGGCAGCACAAAGATCCAAGAAAAGAAACTGCGGTCCCTCGACCCTTTGAAGATCAAGGAGATATTTCTCCTGAGTTTTGTACAGCTGAAAAAGATATTAACAATTGGTCAGAGAATATCCTAGGAAAAAAAATAGTTAGACACCAGACACCTTCAATTTAAAGTGTGCGTGCTAGATAGATAACTAGTTTGTTTTTACAATAGATTCCGACACATGTTTTTTCTATAAGAATAACTATTTGGTTGCAAATCCAATCAAAATATATCCATCATGACTTTAACATGTCAATCTAATTGTTTAGTACTGAAAAATAGAAGGTTTGAGGAAAAAGAATAATTTGGAGACCCTTAAACATTGGCTTCAAACTTCTAATATTTGGCAAAGAGTTTTCTATCTCTTGCGAGCATCAGTGAATAACAATGAAAAAGTTGTTAAACTGGTAATCAAACAATTAATTTAAATCTAAAATAAATCATAGATTAGGGTTATCAAGATAAACTACCTGCAGTTCAAACTTGACTACACTTGATTTTGGAACGGCTTCACTCTCAATAATGCCGGCATTTCCAAGGAAATTATTATTAAGCACAGAATTGTTCACCATTCCTCCCTGATGACCAGGGATGCCGACGACCCATCTGCACTTCATATTATAGTGCCCAATTTTTTTCCAACAGACATTCAGTCCTTGCAAAGCTTTAAGAACCTCGACCATTATTTCTCGAGGTTGGGCTCGAGACTAGCACAAGTCAACAAACAGATAAGTTACAGGTAACTATCAAAACAAAAAAGTGTATTAAAACTTCAATATTTCTGATGACAACAGATTAATATCAACAGATAATGACTTAACACCTAATGTGAGAAAAGGAAGCATATATGTAATAACACATTCATTCAACAAATTTGATGATTCATTCTCAAAAGAGACACAAAATCAGTTGAAACAATAAGACATCCAACAATTATTTCATTAAGAGCTAGAAATCATTGCTGGTGATGGTAGAAGAAATTAAATATGCCGAGCAATATAAAACCATTATGGAATCCAGATGCGATATGAAAAAAACAAAACAAGTAAAGCACTGCACCTGAAGCCCAAGGGCCCATTTTCTCTCGGCAGGGAACTGTTGCCTCATTCCTACTCCCTGATAACCTAAAAAGTGGTGCCCACCAGCTGGAGAAACAACTTCACCGGAGTTGATACGGTTCAAACCAGGATCCTTAGAAGTCATATCATACAAACAAAACTAGTGAGCTTCTAAAAAGATGTAAATAAAGAAATATAATATCAAGAATAGAAAAACCACAATTTCCATGGTAAGTTTCACAGTATGATTTCAAGCTAGAAAGTTAAACTGCATAAACAACTGTCTTCAAGCTAGAAAGTTTCACAGTATGATTTACTCGTGCAAATACTGTTTAGAGTATAACCAGCAATTTTGAGACTACTGCATATTTCACATGGGGATACAATTTAAAAGTAAGTTAAAAATGTGTCTATCAACTTTAAGATATAAACTAAATGGCTGAATCACTTCATAAAAGACAGACAACTAATGTCGTTATACGTAATTGAAGAGAAAACAAACCCACCATTGTCTCTTGAAACTCAGCTCCAAGATAGCCAGTGGAAACACGATAACGATTGTCCAATAGCAAATAGTAAGTTACAGTACCCTGAAATAAATTGATGGTAGTAAGAAGCAATCTGGCAGGAAGGAATACAAGGTCAAAATGAAAGAAACAAACCTCATTTTGCACCCTGTTGCTAAGGGACTCAACCAATTGATCCCTGTCAAATCCCCTATTAACCACCTCCTGAAGAATCTCCTCATCAATCTGCAAAATCACTATACTAGTTGGAATTTTTTGAACTGATTAATACAAGCATAGGTTTGTTATTCTGGACTTCAAAAAACACAACCAATTGAAGCTCTAGTGTGCCACAGAAATGTAAAAGGAAAACAGATTCCTTAAAACAATAAAACCAAACCTTTTTGGCTTGTTGAAGTGTATCCGGTGGTGGCACTGCCAAATAACGCGGCAGACGAAGTTGGAACCATTGGTGTTGCCGGATCTCAGGTATGGTAATCCTTTTCATGGGATCCACCACAAGCAGCCTTGGTATCAAATCTCTGGCACCAGGAGATAGATGACTGGGAAGAGTATATATCCCACCCTACAACAAATAACAAGAGAACTACTTCAGAAGCAAATTAAAAACCATCTGCAAAGAGCGTCATTGGTAAATTAATGATAAACATAAACCTGATTTGAGTAATGAGATTCTAAAAAATAAGACTGAACTATGTTACACAATGAAATCTCTAAAGCAATCTAGATCATGCGTCAGAACTTGGACAAGAAAGAATCACGAAACTGTGAAATGAAATGAGTGTGAAATCAATAGATGAGTAGGATGATATAAGTTCCATGATTTTGAAAGGTTGAAGAGACCAGCAAAAAAATCCACGCATTTCCCCAATTTTTCTTCAGTGTGGATCATGCCTCCTTTTATCATAAGACAGTAGAGGATAATGAAGACCACTATTTCCTCTCTAGTGTCCCTGCTCCGCCAAGAATCTTCTCATTTCTCAACCAAGGTTGTCAAAATCAAGAATCTATGTAAACACGGTGAAATCTCCATACAAAACTAATGTTTAAGACCTCCATCTTGGTATCTAAACATAATGTAATACTGTATGCAAATTAAATATTCAACTTTCCAACCTAGTAATGAAGAAAACCAATTACGTTAAAATATTTAAACACTAAACCGGACAAGGCAAGACGTACAAACACAGCATAATAATTCAAAACTGATGGACAAATTCATAGATGATAAGATAATTTCATAACTCAGGACACAGAAAGAGTAAAAACTTCAAAATTGAAGGAAAAATCAACAAAACAAAAGGCTATGTTGTTAATCCCAGATAACGTCGTCGCATAGCACCAACCCTTATAATGCTATAGCAGGCATATCCAATAGCAAGATGGCCACCATTACTAAGACTAAAACTTAGTGCAGAGTAAACACAAATACTCAAAAATAGAAAAATACACAAAATCAAAGAGATCATTACATAATAAAAGAACCTAAAGTAAAGAGCAATAAAACTTAAACAGAGAAGATAACATAACAGAACTAAAAGTAGGAGAAGAAACGAACAATTGTTTGTGAGCAAGAAAATAACAGATTGAAGAACAAAAGATTACCCTTAAAGGATTTGAATTGACAACATAGTCAAAAGGTTCAAAATTACTAAATACAAAAGAATAGTGAGATTTTAGATGTATCTCTGGAGTTGAGTGCTACAGTTGGGAGGTTAATGTGTGTACTATCATACTATGGAGCCCTTATCAATGATTCCACTGTTGCATTATGGGCTTCAGAAACACACTTAGCTATTGTAATCTGGGATTTTGTAAAACACTAAATTGTTTTAGTTTTAGGCATGTCTGAAGAAAATAAACAACCTAGGTTGGTTATTTTTAAACCTCATCAAACTTAGGGAAGAGTGCATGAGAGAAAAAAGAGAAGAGAAATGGTGATTCTCTATTGTTTGGTTAGATGAGAAATAGAGGAGAGAAAAATAAAGCTGATGCGGCCCACTGCTTTTACAATCACCTCAACCATGCGAAGAAATGGAAGCAAGAGAACATATTGTTTTGAAATTCCATTTCTACCCTCGTGATATACATATATTTTAATTTGGTACATATTCTTTGCAACAATGTTTGTTTCAATTTCGAAAAAGCTTCCGAGCTAATTTGAAAATACATACATATACATACATGTTCATATTAAATGCAAAAAATTTATTATATATGAAATTATAAAAATATACGCTATTTAATGAATTTGTACGAAGTGATTTGCAGCAATAAGTTGATAACTATTCCAATACAGAAGATTATATTTTTCTAGTACGCACAAATTATTATTGATGTGCCTGCATATAAAAACAGTGCATTTATCTTGAAGTATAACCATAAGTTGATAACTATTCCATCATAGAAGATAATATTTTTTCTACACAAAAATTATTAATGTCAGGCCAAATCACAACTCTCCATCAGCACATGGAAAATGCCAAGCTCAAAACCAGTAAGAAAATAATATTGTAAAGAGCTACATTGGATAGTGATACAGCATGAACAATGGTTATAAATTGGGAGTTGGGACAATCCTCACCCAATGAGCTAGCTTTAGGCGATGAGTTAGGCCTAAACCCAAATTCCAAAAAATATGACTTGACAGTAAGAAATATCTACTAGTCCTTACAAACCCACAAAAACAAAAATGAGACTCTACCTTTATTTTTTTGAAGAGGTTGGGAATATTTTCATCATCAAAAGGTAGAGTGCCGCAGAGAAGTGCGTATAAAATTACACCGCAGCTCCAAACATCTACTTCAGGTCCAGCATATAATTTCCCAGAGATAACCTGTGCAAAATAAGTTTGACCGCGAAGTATGAATCAGGATGAAAATGTAAGTTATGAAAATGTATAAAGTATGAAAATGAGCAACGTCAACAATAATAACTTATTTAATTACAAATTTAAAATCCATAGATATACAAACCTCTGGAGCAGCATAGTTAGGGCTTCCACAACTTGTCTTGAGAAAGTGGCCATCACGCATGATGTTGCTCAAACCAAAATCAGCAATCTTGACACTCCATTTTGAGTCCAAAAGTAAATTCTCAGGTTTCAGGTCTCTATGAACTACCATATTCCTGTGACAGTACTCCACACCAGAGATTATCTGCTTCCAAAGCAGAAGTTAGCTAAAATACTGTGTCAGGTATAAGCTTCTCAAGTACACATAACAGAAGAAATTATACCTGCTGGAAGAAACTGCGGGCTTCATCTTCTTGCAACCTACCCTTTTCTACGATGTAATCGAAGAGCTCTCCAGATTTCACATATTCCATCACCACATAAATGTCTGTTGGGGTTTCCACAACCTCATAAAGACGTATAATGTGATGATGCATGAACAATCTTAAAATTTTGATTTCTCTTCTCACTGCAACAGATTGAAGAAAAAATATTATGAGCATATTAACTCAACCAAGACTAGCTTGAACCGAAAACACAGAATTTGAATACTATAGCCTAAGAAACTCAATTATCAACCTCCATATACACATAAAATATGTTATTGAACAGCTAAAAAATTACTGAAAATGAATGGAAAAAAGTAAACATTAAAATGAAGTCCTGCAATTCGATAGGGAGTATGAGTCATTGGTATGCAAAACCTTTCTCTTCCATTTCCATGTTCTTTATCTTGCGACGGTTAAGAATCTTTATTGCGACTTTATGACCAGTCAATACATGCTCTGCAATTTTCACTTTGCCAAAGGACCCAATGCCAAGTGTTTTTCCCATTTTATAGTTCCGTAGAAATGCGTTCACATTTCCACCACCCGGGCCAGCTGATCCATCCATTTTCGAAATCTAGGGGAAAATTTAAAAATAAAATAAAAAAACAATGTAAAACAAACATATTAAAGTATATGAAAATGGATGCACACACGCGCAAAATAGATCAAAGACATCATTGGATATGAAATCAAATAAATAAATGACGGGATCATATGCTAAGCAATTAAAAAATCCAACAGATCTATAACAAATGTACAAATTTAATTGGCGCTCACAGCATAATTTTCGTCTAATAAGCGTTATGTTTAGTCGAGTTTTAAAACAAAATTACTGACTTTCTTTATTGAGTTAATGGAACTTTTACCGTTGACTAACTTAAACAATGTATACAATCGGATGCAAACAGAAATTATTACAGAAAGCAAAATAAGTAAACTTATTTCCTTTATAAGGCGTCATGATACACGTGAGGTCCTTGTTGACTACCTTAAACAATGTATACAATCGGATGCAAACAGAAATTATTACAGAAAGCAAAATAAGTAAACTTATTTCCTTTATAAGGCGTCATGATACACGTGAGGTCCTCGTTGATTTTATGGAAAATATCTTCTCAGTTAACAGCATTAGGTGCACAGCTCGAGAAATATACGTTTTTTCCTAATACTTAGTTCGTGTGCAAAATTCTACCTACAAAAATAATACAATAGAAAAGCTAACAAAAAAGAGGAAACTGACGCAACAAAAACGCCAAAGAGTGAATCTACCGGTCCTCGTTGATTTTATGGAAAATATCTTCTCAGTTAACAGCATTACGTGCACAGCTCGAGAAATATACGTTTTTTCCTAATATTTAGTTCGTGTGCAAAATTCTACCTACAAAAATAATACAATAGAAAAGCTAACAAAAAAGAGGAAACTAATGCAACAAAAACGCCAAAGAGTGAATCTACAGGTCCTCGTTGATTTTATGGAAATATATTCTCAGTTAACAGCATTACGTGCACAGCTCGAGAAATATACGTTTTTTCCTAATATTTAGTTCGTGTGCGAAATTCTACCTACAAAAAGAATACAATAGAAAAGCTAACAGAAAAGAGGAAACTGACGTAACAAAACGCCAAAGAGTGAATCTACCGGTCCTCATTGATTTTATGGAAAATATCTTCTCAGTTAACAGCATTAGGTGCACAGCTCGAGAAATATACGTTTTTTTTCCTAATATTTAGTTCGTGTGCAAAATTCAACTACAATAAGAATACAATAGAAAAGCTAAAAGAAAAGAGGAAACTGACGCAACAAAAACGCCAAAGAGTGAATCTACCGGGCCTCGTTGATTTAATGGAAAATATCTTCTCAGTTAACAGCATTAGGTGCACAGCTTGAGAAATATACGTTTTTTTTTCCTAATATTTAGTTTGTGTGCAAAATTAATACAATAGAAGAACTAACAGAAAAGAGGAAACCGACGCAACCAAAACGCCAAAGAGTGAATCTACTACACCAAGGTAACGCACCGGGTTTTTGTCCCTTGGTGAGGTGCATGCATGTGGAACCTTCGGCATGCGTTTCTAGTTCAAGCAAACAAACAATTAGATCGTTGGCGCCATTCTTCAATTTGAGACACAAATTATCAGCACTTCTTGCATAAATACCCCAAAAACCTCTAGGGTTTTGACATTAAATCCACCTCTAACCACCTTACTTCCCTCTTCTCAAAAACCATCACCTCATATAAATACCTCAATTCCCTTCTACCGCGCTTACAACAGCTTTCCCTCAATAACACAAACCCTCAACCACCATATGTTTTCTCTTCTCAAAAACCATCACCTCAGATAGACACCTCAATTTCTTTCCACCACACTTACAAGTTACAACAATCTTCTCTCAATTTTTCTACACTAACCTAAAATCCAGTCCTCCTCAACAAATCTAAACGAGAATCTTACATCTATCACACCTAATGTCCTCATTCAGTTACTCCCAATGATAACAAAAACAACTTAATTAACACAGTTCAATTCTAAAAAATATTGAAACAATATCCTCAGGTAAAATTTTCACAATTCATCGAGAAAATAATCCAGATCCAAACAAACGGAGGATGAAACAGAATCTTCAGATCAAAAGGACGAACAAAATCAGTAAACACGTGCATGAAAAGTAGAAATCGAAAAGAAAAAAAAAGAGAGAAAAACGAAGCGCGAAACCTCACCAGTGATTAGAGAGAAACGGAAGTTGCAGTGAGAGATAGAGAGAGTGAAAAAAAACCCTAAATCGGGTTTTGTGAATTGGGGAAGAATGAAAATGAACGTGACGATGATGGAAGAAAACACGGTTCGATTTTGATGCTGTTCTATTCTATTGTGTTGAGAAGACGCCAATGAAACGCTGCGTTTTTTACGGTCTTTTTATTTTTTACATTCCCCACGCAATTAATTTGGTATCATGTTCTTTTTTATATTTGTTTGTTTGTGCTGAATTTAAGAACATTTTTTATTTACTTTTGGAAAATATAGATTATTTTGTATGTTAATTAGGTTTAAGTGGTGTGTAATTTAAAAAATGGTTTTAAAATGCTTACTTATACAAACTTGTTGGGGTCTATTTAGTGATATGGCGCTTTAGTGTGCATTTATTATTTTTTAATTGAAGTTGTTAAAACACACTTTCATAAAAATAAATAGATGTATTATAGCAATCTCTACATGAATTTGTTATAATATACATATTTGTTTTTATGAAAGTAGAATTTAGTAGCATGCACCTGCATTTAAGAATTTTTTAGTTGGAACCGTCTAAAATAGGCTTTCATATAAATAAATAGGTCTACATTATATTATTATAAGTTGTTTTAGAAAACAAATTGCACGACATTATAAGTTATTTTATGAATCATTAATGTCATTTTTTCTTTTATACATTTAAATATTTATTATTCTCTTTTCTTTTGTAAATTTATTTTTTAATATCATTAATAAAAGACAATTTTGTGAAAGTATTCACAATTTCTCTTTTCCATATTATAATTAGTACATTTCTTAATATGTGTGAAAAGTCAAAAACGACTTATAATAAAAAAACGGAGAGAGTATATTACACTCGTTTTTTTCAAATACATTAATTTAGTTATTTAGGGATATAGTAGTATTTTATAATTCCAAAAAGATGTCTAAAAAGGGTGGCAAAGCCGGGCGGCCTGTCCCGTTTAGACCCGACCCATTTAAACTCGTTCAAAAGTGGGGCGGACCAACTTAGGCGTTTGAGCTCAAAAGTCAAGTCCGTCCCATTTACTAACGAGTTGGCGGGTCGGTCCGCCAATTTTTTTTTTACAATTTGATTTACTACATAACTTACAAATTTGTTAATCATTATCAAAGAGACCGACAAATTTTAACAATGCATAGTAAATTTTAACAAGTCTTAATGTAAATGTCATATTCTTTAACCTAAACAAAAAATGCAACTATAATACCAAAAACATAAAACAAACACACTAAAATTTCAAAATAATCTTTTTTGTTCAAAAAAACAACAAGCACAACCTAGTTAAAAACATCTAGGGACACAAATCTAGAAAACAAACTACTACAAACTAAACAAAGACAACTAAGAACCAATAAAAAAACTAATCTTAAATACTTCATGACAAACACTTCATCAATAATCATTTATGTCGTAAACATACGAAGCTTTGAATGATATCGTAGTCATTCGATGAAACCTTCCACCATCTCTCTCCTTGTCATCACCCACTATTTAGGGTCTGTTTGGTTCAAATGAGGGGGAGGGGAGGGGAGGCATTTTAATGAAGGGGAGGGGAGGGGAGGGGAGGTGAAGGAATTTTTTAATTAAATAAGTGTTTGGTTCAAAAGAGAGGAGGGGAGGGGAGGGGAGGAATTTTAATTAAAAATGTGTTTGGTTCAGAAGGGGAGGGGAGGGGTTTTATTAATAATTTACATTTTTATCCTTATGATCTTATATAAGTCATATGATATTAAAATGTGAAAAATCCGTGCGTATTTTTGTTGATAATAAAATTTCTAATATTGAGTGATAAAAAAAAATATTTATTTGTCACTAAAGTTAAAAAATTGAGTACAATCGATTCAACTTATAACTTTCCAACATAAATTAAACTATATGTCAATAACATCGTTTAAATTGTGATGAATCATATAACAAAACAAAAATATAATATAACTTATTACTAAATATTAATGGTTTAAAATATTTAATAAAATGAATAAACAAAAATAAATAAAATGATATGGTTTACAATTTGATATAAAAGAAAATATGATAGAGTACATAACAAAATTAAAAGAAAAAAACGAATATGACGAAATATAATTTTTTTATAAAAAAAAAGACAATGATTATGATTTATATTAATTATAAAAATTATAAAATAATTTGAAGGTGAAGAACAATTATAATAAATTGATGAAAACAATCGAGAAAAAACAATAACATAAAAGATAACAAATAGTTTTGAAATAATAAAATTAAACTGAGGATATTTTAGTAAATATAATAATTTTTAAATATCAAAATTAATATTCCCTCCCCTCCCCTCCAAATCCCCCCAATTCGGAGGGAACCAAAAAGTGTGTTTTGGAGGGATTTTGCTCCCCTCCCCTCCCCTCCCCTCCCCTCCTAAAATTTGAACCAAACATATTTAATTAAAAATTTCCCCTCCCCTCCCCTCCCCTCCCCTCCATCTACCCCGAACCAAACACACCCTTAATAATCATCAAGATCGACAACATCAAAATTAGTAGATTTATCAATGAAAGCATCTCAAAAATAAAACAATCTAAGAAAAATCAAATATTCATTATTTAAAAATTATCAATACAAATAATAAGCATTTCGTTGAGTATTTTAGTGTCAAAAAATAAATAAAATAAGAACTCAAATAGAATAAAATACAAATAAAAACTTTATTATCATAATGAGAAACAAACACCTCTGTGTAAAACTTACCTTATAGCTTTAAAACCTGGCTGCAATGACAGCGAGTTATAGAAAATTGAAAAGAATGTATTCTCTATGTT